TCAGTTGGAGGTAGATGGATGAGTCTTGTAGGTGTGGATTGACCTTATCACTTGACAAATCCATCTTGAACTTCATCTGTTTTGTTTTTTTTATATTTGTTCCCTTATTCTAAATTTTTAGGTGATAAAATATAATAATCATAAAAAACACATAGTAAAAGTTGTTTATTTTGTCCTCTGCTCTGGACATGCTTTATGTTTGTAAATAGTGTATAAATTAAAAATTCAAGCTGGAAATATACAATGTAAGGTCAGTTGGAGGTAGATGGATGAGTCTTGTAGGTGTGGATTGACCTTATCACTCGACAAATCCATCTTGAACTTCATCTGTTTTTTTTTCATGTTCCCTTTTTCTAGATTTTTTAAATGATAAATTATAATAATCATAGAAAATACATAGTACAGATTGTTTATATTGTCCTGTGCTTTGGACATGCTGTATGTTAATAAATAGTGTATACTGAAACGTTATTGGATGTTTATTCTTAGAAGTTGTTTAGATGATAAAGATCTTTTGATGAAATTATTAGAAAAAACTGTATTAACAATAACATAACAGAATGAAATTTGCATATGAATGGAATTTTTGTTACAAATTTTTTTTTCTCATTTATCTTAGGTAGTTATATTGTATTTCACAATATATTGCATTCAGAGGGCAGTCTATTTATTTGTTTATTTTTTACAGGGTAGCTCTAAATATAAACATGTTTTTTATATTACTTGTACATATTAGTGTTTTGTTAAAAGGGGTTGTTTGTTGTATGCAAAATGACCTGTCCAGTATGGCTTTTTACATAGAACTTACTTACAGATGAATTTTGATAATGGCAGAAATTAAAATTGTTACATATAATTGTAGAGGTTTACATGATCCGAAGAAAAGAACTGATGTTTTTGATTTTTTAAAAGCAAAATGTAATGCTGATATAGTCTGTCTTCAAGATGTACATTTTACGTCCAATATGAAAAAGCATTTATATTCTCAATGGAATGCTGAATGTTATTTTAGTTTTGGTACTTCTAATGCCCGTGGTGTGGCCATTTTGTTCAAAAGAAATCTAGATATGAAAGTACATCAGATTTTTGCTGATGATAATGGTAATTACCTTGTTCTTGATCTTACACTTAATTCTAAAAAGTTCACATTAGTTAATATATATGGCCCAAATATAGACATGCCAGAATTTTATGACCACATTTTTCAAATTGTTGATAATCTAGAAAATGATTCGTATATATGTTGTTGTGACTTCAATCTTGTATTAAATACTAACCTTGATTATTACAATTATAAATCAATGGATAATAATAAGAAAGCTAGAGATTTACTTCTTCAAAATATTAATAGTCGACATTTATTTGACCCGTTTAGAGAATGTAATAAAGATATTAGACAGTATACATGGCGTCGGACAAGTCCGACACAGCAGGCTAGGTTAGATTTCTTTTTGATTACTGAGGATTTTTTACCTCAGGTAAGGAGTTGTGATGTAGGTCTTAGCTATAGATCAGATCATTCTATTGTAACACTTAGTTTAGATCTTAGCAATGTGCCTCATGGTAAAGGTCTCTGGAAATTCAATAAACTCTCTTTTATATGATAAAGAATATTTGAATATTATTAATGAAAAAATTGAAGAAATAAAAAAACAATACTGTTTACCTGTATATAATGTAGAAAATATTGAAAATATTAGCAATAGTGAACTATCATTTGTTATTGATGACCAGTTATTTTTAGAAACTCTGTTGATGGAAATAAGAGGAAAAACTATTTCTTATGCAAGTTTTAAGAAGAAGAAAACCAAATCTAGAGAGGATGATTTAATATCACAGATTACATATTTAGAAAAAAATTCAAATGATCCTGGAAATGTTAGATTATCAAACTTGCAAAATGAATTGGAAACAATAAGACAAGACAAAATTAAAGGTAATTTCATACGCTCTAGAGCAGAATGGATTGATAATGGTGAAACACCAACTAAATATTTTTGTAATCTTGAAAAATATAACTATACTTCAAAAATCATTCCTTTTTTGGAAAAAACTAATGGTACCATTATATATGAGCAGTCAGAAATTTTAAAAGAAAGTAAAATATTTTATGAAACATTGTATACAAAAACTGATTCTCCTGATGATTTTAATATGGAAGAGTTCTTAGGCAACATTACTGTCCCAAAATTGAGCAGAAATCAAGCAGATTCGCTAGAAGGTCTCTTTACCTTTGAGGAAATTTCAGAAACACTTAAGAATATGAAAAATGACAAAAGCCCAGGGTCTGATGGTTTTACATCAAATTTTTTTTAAAGTTTTCTGGAAACAAATTGGACATTTTGTTGTCAGAAGTATTAATTATTCTTTTATTAAAGGTGAATTATCACTTACCCAAAGGCAAGGTATAATTACCTGTATCCCGAAAGAAAACAAACCAAAACAATATTTAAAAAAACTGGCGACCAATAACTTTATTGAATTATCCTTTAAAACTAGCCTCAGGTGCATTAACCAAAAGACTTCAGTCAGTTTTAAATTGTTTGATAGATACAGACCAAACAGAATTTTAAAAGGAAGATTTATAGGAGAGAATATACGATTACTCTATGATATAATGAATTATTTAGAAGACAAAAAGAATGTCAGGACTATAAGTAATGATTGACTTTGAAAAAGCATTTGATACACTTTCTTTTAATTTCATAATTAAGACATTTGAATTCTTTAATTTTGGCCCAATGTTTAGACAAATGGATAATTCGTTTTATACAAATACTGAAACTGCTGTTCAAATGAATGGAATTTTGTCCAACTTTTTTAAATAGGGCGTGGTTTTCGTCAAGGAGACCCAATCAGTCCTTATATTTTTATATCATTTGCCGAAATATTAGCCATCATTAAAATAAGAACTAACAAAAATATAAAAGGTATACATATCAACGGAACAGAGTATAAGATTTCACAGTATGCTGATGATACCTCTTTACTGTTAGATGGATCTGATCAGTCTTTAAATTGTATGCTTGATATTTTACATGAATTTTCTATTATTTCTGGATTAAGAGTTAACTTTGAAAAAACACATGTTATATGGATTGGCTCTTTAAAATATAGCACTAGATCAATAAAAACTAGGTGGAAATTAATTTGGGGTAGTACATCATTTAGATTACTTGGTATCAACTTTCACGTTGATTTAGAAAAAATGATAACTTTGAATTATACTGCAAAAATTGAAAATATCAAAAAATATATCCAGTGTTGGAAAAGAAGGGCTTTAACACCTATTGGTAGAATAACTGTTGTAAAGTCACTGTTACTTCCTTTATTAACTAACTTGTTTATATCACTTCCAAATCCAAATTCTCAGATGTTAAAGGAAATAAGTAATATGTTTTATGATTTTGTGTGGCAAGGTACACCAAAGATTAAATCTTCTGTATTGGTGAAAGAATATGTAAATGGTGGTCTAAAAATGATTGATGTATGTGCTTACATGAAAAGTTTAAAACTTTCATGGTTAAGAAGAATTGTATCATCTGAATGTGATAAATGTTACACTATTTTAGAAAACTTTTTAGATATTAGGAAGCTATTTAATTGTGGAAAGTTATATACAGCATATATATTTAATATTTTGAAAAATTCATTTTGGAAAGATGTTTTAGGTGCTTATGTAGAATTTGTAGAAAAAACACCGATTATTTCTATGGAAATGTTGTTAGAAATGCCTCTGTTCTATAACCAATATATTTTGATGGATAGAAAACCTATTTTTATAAAAACATGGTATGATAAAGGTATAAGGTTTATCAAAGATATTATGAATGTGAATGGTATTTTCCTTGAAAGGAATGAATTGGAAGCAAGATTAGGCATTAAAGTAAACTTCATTTACTATGAATTAATTACAAGTGCTGTCAAGAAATACAGAAGTGTATTAAGTTTAAAGTTATGTGAAAATTATGAAATTGCTTCCTATTCTCCCATTATATGTTGTTATTTAAAGCCTATACTACTTTTGTGTTAAAGGTACATCAGACATGTACAATATATACATAAAAAATGATGATATTCCAACTTGTCAGACTAAATGGAACACTTGCTTTCAATTAAGTCAATCTGACTGGAATAAAATACATAGTTGGGTTTTTGACATTACCAATGATTCTTACTTGCAATGGTTTCAGACAAGACTAACACATAGAATATTAGCTACTAATTATCTTCTTTTGAAAATGAATTTATCTGTTACAAGTATGTGTACTTTTTGTAAATCAGAACATGAAACATTGTTACACCTTTTTTGGGAATGCTCATTTGTCAAAATATTGATTACAGAAATTATTAAAATTGTTAGGAATCATGATGCTTTATTTGATATTGATTGTAAAACTTTTATATTAGGTTATACAAAAAAGAGCCAGTCAAAGTACAATATCCTATGTCTAGAGATAAAGAAATATGTTTATTTATGTAGGAGAAAAAATATTTTACCAAATATAGATGGATTAATTAGAAGTTTTAAATTAGCCTCTTCAATTATTGATGCATGTGCAACAAATACAAAAGATAACATAATGAATTGGACAATTGTTCAAAAAATCATTTAATTCTTTTTAGAGTAATGTAAATTTATAATTTATTAATATACAGCCATTGCTTTTTGTTAAAAGTTTGAGTATAAGAAACAACAACATAATGTTTTCTCTGTTCAATCTATGAGCTACCTTTCCTTTTTTTCTCTTCTTTTATTTCCCTTGTGATTTTGTTTGTATATTATTTTGTGTATGTACATTTGTATATATTATTGTGGAAATGTGAAGTTGTGATTAATACTCAATGACAATAATCAATAATTGTTACTAAATCAACAAATATTTGATACATGTGTATATATAATATGATAAATAAAATCTTTGTAAGGTATGGAGGGGGATGCCCTCGACCCCCACATACCCATGACGAGGGAAATAAAAAAAAAAAAAAAAAAAAAAAAGTTTCGTAGCTATATTAGAAAAAAGTTGCGTGAACGTAAATTGTTTATGTGATAATACAAATCTACATTATAAAAGGACGTGTAATTCAAATAAGTTGAAGATACATTTATCAGACTTGTATGAATTTTGAAAATGTGAAACTATATTTAGAGATTGATTAACAGTGATTCACAACAAATATCCAGGACCACTCTTGCTTACCCGTCTTGCTTGAAACAAAAATATATGCTAGGTATCTCTTTTAGCAATTAGTTGTGAGCATATAATTTTAATAATGTATCTCAATTTCAAGTTTAATTAGCAATTCAAATAAGTATGTATTTAAACAGTTTGCTATGTGAATGTTGGTAATAAATGATTTATTTGTTGATGAGAATGCCACTGAAGGAGTTCATCCTCCAGCCATCTTTATTCAAAGCATAACCGGAATAGCCATACAGACATTTGACCCATAACTGCTCTGCAGATTTCACTCTCATAACTGCAGAAAAGGAGCTGCAAGCTGAGTTTTTTGCATCGTAATTGTTCGACCGAGCAATCACGTTTCCTGATAGCACTATCGCAAGAGGTGAATGTTGTTTGACCCATGTACAATAATTAACAATAAATTGGAACAATCCCCCGACAGGTGCTGTGAAGATTCCTGTGGAAGTGTCATATCCTGATCCTTCGTTGGTCGTTGCTGTGGTAAATATGATGATTTCGTCTGTCTAGTTAAGCTTTAGATCTACCACATTGTGTGCAAAGAATGCAACGGAAGGCTTTTCAATATTTTCTGTAAATTAAGAAAAACGAAGAAAAGATTTTAGAAATGTATTTTGCCACAATTTGCATTTACATGCTTAAAAAAGAATAAAAAATGAATCAGGGACAAGATATTTTGAATAAATTTCAAATCAAAATATACATACAAACAAATGTTTTGGTTCGAACTCCAACTACAAAAAAAGAAATTTATATTCTCCAAAAGCAAAACAACAAATGAACACAGCTTAATTCTTATTCATATCTTGATATGGTTTATAGGTTTTGATACATGCATCTATGATTATTTATTTGAATCATTCGTCTTTGCTATTAAGCTATGAATAGGAAAATACTTGATTATTGTGCTGATCTTCTTTTATCTTACCTGAAAGTTTTATTAACATCTTTTTTCCTTCCTCCATATCATTCGTGAAATCACTACGTAGTCCTTCAAATGCGTTCTTCAGTATTTCTGTCAAGAATAAAACATCTTGGTCAACATTTCCCACTTAATTCTTAATGTATTTTTACTTCAAACTTTAAACCAGATTTTTGACATTTTGGACCAAATAAATGGACGTCTCGTATCAGGTTCAGGAACGCATAGGCATCATATGGACATTTGTAAATGTGAATTTGATTTCTCATCATTGTAAGAAACAATTTGTATCTGATTTTCAATATTGTTTACCGCACACAATCATATTCTGATTACCAAATTTAATTATGGAGACAATTTATCCTTAATATTTTTTTTAAGAATTACTAGTATCAAGTATTATGCATATACATGTATGATGCTTTTGTATTGACACAATATTAGGAAATTTCAGATTATCTTTGTGAGGAATTTATAATTTATTCATTTTTTTTCACTTCAGTGAAATGCATTATGTTTGAACACAGGGTATTTTAGCTATTTTGTAATATTATCTCTGCCTTTGCAAAAATAAAATAAAATATGATAAACAAGATCAACAAGGAAAGGAGACGTTCAATGAACGCAACCCTATAATATAATGCATCATTTATATGGATTTCTGAAATATTTTTTTCGTGCAATCTAGCGACATATATCCTAGCAAACGCCTAAAAATAATTTTGATAAGAATAATTTTTATTGTGTTCATATGGTATATGGCGGAAATCAAAGAACTTTAAATATGAAACGTTTAGATTCAACATCAAAAAATTTATTAAATTAATTTAAACAAGTTAAGAAGCGAAACTTTAATATCTAAATATCAGTGGGTATTAAAAATAAACATTATCAAATTAAGGCCATTTGGTCCTGTATATTAATTTTATAATAGCATTGTTCACTTGAAACAAAGCTAAGTGTCGTTTTATTCATTTACAAAGTATTATAAAAATTGTTTCATTAATTAGAAGAATTCAATAGCAAATGATGATTTTATAAGCCTAAAATAAATTTCCTTACAAGCTCGGAGAAGAACAAGTAAAGCAAATGTATTACATAAGAACAAATACATTACCTTCATTCTTTTCTTTCTCTCTCTCAACCACCTCCATGACATTGCTCTGTATCGATTCAAGTTTTTGAGACACCTCTGCACTAGTTTTCTTAATTTCCTCCTCCAGAATATTCGCAATCGTTTCTTGAGTTTTCTTAATGTTATTTTGCATCATTTCTACTTTTATTTCCTGCCTAATCATTTTTTCTAAAAGCTGTTCTTCACAGGAAAATTTTGAACACATTGATTCATTTGCAAAAGACACAGCAAAATGGTATTTGAAGATGTAAAGGAAAAATGCGCAAATTCCAGAGAACATCATTTTACAGTCTACTCGGTTGCCGAAATGAAACTGAATTGTAATGATTTTCTTAAAAGCCCTAGCCGTTTTGAACTATTGCGCTATTCTACTGAAAACAAATGTGCAGAGGTTTGTCAAAAAGTATGTCTATTCTAAAAGAAATATTTGATTTGAATTGTAAAAATTTGTATCAAGATATTGACACTTCTCCTTCTGTAAATTATTTGAGGTTAAACCGATTGTTTGAGCTATATTTAATATGCATTCATCGGGCAGTTATAAATATATAGAGGATATTCAAGTTTTTTCTATAAATACATGATTTATTTTCATCAAGTGGTATGAAAATAAATATTTCATGAGTGGCGGTAGCCACGAGTGAAATATCGTAATTTTCATGCCACAAGATGAAAATAAATCATGTATTTATAGAAAAAACTTGAATTTTCTGTTTATTATATACATTTTTCTCTTTTTTGACATTAAAATTTGAAAGACTTTCCCTTAAATTTTGTGTACTGGCAGAATTTAAAAGAAAGTAGTCCGGCAAGACACCAGTGAAAATACGGAAAATATGTTTCACTGCAGTGAAAAATAAATTTTTACAGTGAAAATACGGAAAATGAAAATATGCATTTTATTTCATCAATATTTCTCAATATTTCATTTATAAGTATATAATAAATCTTAAATCAGTTTGAAAATGTTTTTATACATCATCTTTAAATCATCAGTGGTGAAATATTATATCAGATACGTGTAGACTTGCTTAGATTTTACAAAGTTTGTTTCTAAAACGACAGATTGGATCAGCGGCAACACTGATTTGCTATGCAGATTTTAAAACATAATATACCATTTAAATGTATTTAAGCAAATAAAGAATTTATTGTGAACTTAAACTCAATGCGCAAGTAAAATTTGGTGATCACATTTTCAATTGACATTGTGGTGCTATAAGATTTGCGGATATAACTCATGCATTATTAACATTGTCTCACAATATATTGTGCATTTGGTGTAACAAAGTATGAGCATTAATAATCACATAATTATTCTATTTATATGAACTTGTTAAAAATTAGGCAAATTTCACAATTTTAAAATAAATTATGAAATTGAAAATGAAGAATCAACCAAGAACTTTTATAATAAGCATGGTCCTGAATAAAGGTATTATCACTTTGATGACCTTCTAATAACCGTTCGAATTTTCCGATGACAATAAATGATAATCATGTATTAAAATATTTCAAAGGGAAGATAAACTATTTTTGACATTGATAACATTCTTTAGTAAGTTAAAAATATTTTCAAAGCATTGACGTTCTGTTATATTATATGTAAAGGACATTGACAAGATCTTAAATAGGGGATATTGAATGAGTGTAGTATAATATTAAATTTATTGAACGAGTTGAATAGAATCATATTATGCGAGCCTCTAGCGAGCATAATATTGTTTTATTCAACGAGTTCAATAAATTTAGTATTGAATCTACACGAATATAATAATAAGAACATTAAACTGTTAAAATGAATAATGTTTCAATGACGCGCCCATAGTGTAACGCGCTTTAACGCTATGTTTCTATATAGCGCAAATGACGTCACGTCAAAGTGTTATTACACTAGTGTAATATCGTTTTTATTAAATGGCTTTATTACACTCCTGCGCCGCGGTTTATGTGATAAAATAAATTATTGCATTGACATTATTTAGTATCAGTGTATGACATTATATATTACAAGGTTAATGGAAGTATTGTCCAGAAAAATGTGATGTAAATTGTTGTCTTATCTACTTCGGGAGAAGAAAATATAACAACAATTTATTTGTAATTTAGTAAACAACCCTCTTACTGGAATGACATTATCAGAACAGAACAGAACAGAAATTTTGTTTCGTAACCTATACCATACAGTTTCTTGTTACATTACTCATATCAAATATTATAAATAGATAAACACATGATATAATTCAAAGATTTACAGTATATTGGAGAATGAACATATATTGATGCAGAAAAATTTGTATAAAATAAATGTATATCAGAATAATCTCATTTTTAATATCAGAATAATCTCATTTTAATATAAACATTACTAGCGAAATCTAAACGTTTACAATATCTATGAAAATAATAACAACATTTTAACATTACATTTAAGTATAACCTAAGCTTATCAACATATCTTTTCTTTTACTATTTGCAAAATAAATACATTTACATTAATTTAATAATATAGACTTTTCACATGACGATTTAATGTATTTATATACACACATTTAACAATGATATTGTTTGAATGTATCACTTTAAAATATATTTTATTATGTGAACATATCTATTGACATAAAGTGGGTATCTACCTAGCTCACCATAAATTGCTGCATTACAAGAGCTTATTTTCACACCAAGAATTAACTTGCAAAATTTCAAGTGTAATCTCTCTATATATTTAGATTTTGTAAATCCCCAGACTTGACAAGCATAATCTAAGATAGATGTAGTGTGTTTATTTTCATTCACTGTCGAGTTGGTTTTCTTAATTAATGTAAACTCTTTTCTGTCAGCAGAAGATATAATCATGTTAAGAGAAGAAACCGTGTTGATTGTTATCTGAAGAGTGAATGCATTTATTATGTTATGTTCTCTACTTGTAAACATTTACGTTTTTTCTTGCGTCATGATTTCAAGGTCAGTCTAGCCTTTTCTCGTGGGAAACATTTCGTAAAATTGTAGATATATGAAAACACCTGTTGTATCTTAAAGGCAAACAATATGGAGGTTATTCGTTGCCAAAACTCCAGCCTTTGAAACTTGGCAATGCATCCCAGCAAACACTTGACGTTGTTTCAACGTTGGATCTAAGTTGGATTTATGTCACGACGTCAAAATCCTAAATACAACGTTGAAACAAATTTGTGACGTCGTATCAACGTGTTGGAATTACGTCGATACGACGTCGGATTTCAGTGTAATCCAACATAGTAGTCTTGATTGTGTCACTTCCCTTTGTTCTGATTTATAAACCCGATAGGTGGCTCTAATTTCAGGTCAATATAATCATTCGAATTTTGTTATTCATTTTTTTTTCACATCCATTGTATTTTTTTTTAAATTGTTGTTAAACTAGACCATAAAAAGGAACAATATTAGCATTTCAATTAAATGAATTGAAAAAAAAAATAATGGAAACTTGATGAATTTCAAAACGAGGCTACAACAACAATTTGTTTTCAAATTCAAACAAAGACAAAGGAAGGACATTATGCACATCATAGAAGACAATTCGCATAGTGAAAAGTAAGTGATATTTTTAAGGTAGATTAGTATTAAACTTACTGCATGCATATTATAATAACTGAAAAATTATTAGTTACATTTAGAATATAATTATATTTTCATGATATTCAATTATCTTAGTTCTAAACCAGTTAATTAATGTAGTCTAATTTGCCCTCATTTAACTCGTAATTTGGGATTCAATTGATATATAAATTGTATGAAATTCTGTCAAACTTTTTGTTTTATTTGTGTTCCCATTTTAAGCCAAGATCCCTACATGACCTTAATCTCTCTAATTCGATTTATCAGATTAGTAGACTAGATAACAACAGGTATTTCACCACAGCGTATTTGTTAACAAAGGAACACCTGTCAATATTTGAGATTTAATCTATTGTTATTCAAATAGATCTACATGTAAAAGGTCAAAGTAGGGATCTATCAATACATAAGTATACTGTCAAAGTAAATTTATAACTTTTTGTCAATAATCATTGGGTTTTGTTTTTTTTATAGACTGACACTTAATATTTGTGTGATGACAATGAGCTGATAAGATTGTATACATGAAAAACAGTCGACAGAAAACACCATTTGGACATAAAAGAATGATAAGTGCATCAAATTAAGGTAATATATGGATTTTGATTTTGTTATTTACTGTAATTTCTGTTTTGTCATAATTAACTGTTAATCAAAAGTAAAATAATTACGTGAAATGTCTTATGATTGAATTTGCACCTTTACATGTTACTGTTTTGCAAATTACATATATTTGAAGTTACAGTTTTTGAGTGTTCTACATCATCAATCGACATCTGATTTTAATTTATGATATGCTAGGGTAATCTATTGGTAATAATATTTCTATTTAATATAATTTAATTGACCATTTTGGTTGTTATGTACACCTATTTATTTCTGTTTCTTTTTTGCAGTTTCAAGGAAAAAAAACAAGTTGAACCTCAAAACAAGTTTGACACAGTGTCTTCGTAGATGAAAAATAATCAGGATCCAGTGGCGGACGTTTAGTATACCAGAAATATTCACATGGAGGAGTATATCTCCAAATTTAATTCTTTTAAGTTAGTTTTGAAAGAATAAAGATAAAAAATACTTCCTTTCTTTAAATGTGAATATTTATTTATTGTTTTGTGTGTTACACTTAATTTTGACAGAAAGGAATATTTTCCCTCACTTATCCGATTTGTTACCGATGAAATCAGCTGCAAAAGAAAGCTTTACTTTCCATGATTTCCATTTTCTATGAGTTATTTAAAAGAAAACCTTTTTAAGCATGTTGTTACGGAAGAGCATAAGTGCCAGGTGTATGTTTTTTATTAACTCGAAATTTCGAGTTACTAACTCGAAATTTCGACTTACTTATCTTGAAATTTCGAGTTACTAACTCGAAATTTCGACTTACTAACTCGAAATTTCGACTTACTAACTCGAAATTTCGACATACTAACTCGAAATTTCGAGTTACTTATCTCGAAATTTCGACATACTAACTCGAAATATAAGATATATAGTAGGGAGTGCCGTTGAACGATGGAGATGGAGAAACGGGTGCCTGGACAAAAACTATTGAATTAAACTTAGTGATGGCATGTACACACACGACCTAAAAAAACACAAGGCTTCCCTTAATTTGTACGTTCAGGCGTTCTTCAGACGTTGTATTGTATCCCGTCTGTTCGAACATATCTTTTCACTAATCATATTCTTCTCATCCCTGTGAATAAAACGATCCTATACTTCACGTGTGGGACATGTGAGGAAAGTATCGCGGCGTGGCCAAAATAGGGCGTGCTGAGGCCTTTGTCAAAATTGTTGGACTGTCTATATTTCTTGTCAAATCGGATGCTTTTATATTATTCCCAAAATATATATAACAACAAGTTCCACTTTTATCAACTTTTATCAACACAATATGAATCAAAGTATTAGTAAATAATGATAATGTTACAAAAACATTATTAGTATAGAGAAACGTGACAGACTTACTGGCGTGTACACGCCATTTAAAACTTATTTAACACATGATATAGCACATAGCACATATCACATGAAATTCCTGCTAGATTTTTAAAAGATGCAGCTTCATTTTTGAAAATACCAATTACTTTTATCATAAATATGTCAATTTCAGAAAATTATGTCCCTGATGACATGAAAGTAGCTAGGGTAAAACCTTTATATAAAAAGAACAGTAATCTTGAAGTAGGAAATTATAGACCTGTAAGCATTTTAAGCATTGTTTCAAAAATTTTAGAAAAATCACTGTATTCTCAACTTGAAAAGTTTTTAGTTGATAATGGTTTATTGTATGAATTACAGTCAGGTTTTAGAAATTCCTATTCCACTGACACTTGTCTTATCCATCTTATGGATCATATCAGAAACAATAATTCCAAAGGATTATACACAGGCATGATAATGTTAGATCTACAAAAAAGCATTTGATACTGTTGACCATGATATTTTATGTGGAAAATTGAAATTGATGGGTATCTCTAATACTGACTGGTTTATGTCTTATCTTAAAGGTAGAAAACAAACTGTTAGTGTTGATAATATTTTATCAGATTACATGCCTGTTACATGTGGGGTTCCCCAGGGCAGCATCCTGGGTCCTCTTTTATTTTTGTGCTATGTAAATGACATGCGAATTAGTATAGATCAAGAATGTAAACTTATTCTGTATGCCGATGACAGTGCAATTCTTTTTGCTCACAAAAATCCAAGTATTATTTCTCAAAAACTTGGACAAACACTAGAGGTCTTGTTCATCTTGGCTTGTAGATAACAAATTGTTCACTTCATCTAGGAAAGACTGAATGTCTTATTTTTGGTTCCAAACGTAAACTAAAACAAGTTAAAGAGTTCAAAATTGTTTGTAATGGACATACTATTGAATCCACAAAATCTGTTAAATATCTAGGTTTAAATATTGATGATTCTTTGTCAGGTGAATCTATTGTTAATTGTATTCTTACAAAGGTGAATTCACGTCTTAAGTTTTTGTATAGGCAAGCAAATGTTTTAGATTTTAGGACTAGAAAATATTTATGCTCAGCACTAATACAATGTCACCTTGATTATGCATGTTCTTCTTGGTACCCGAGCCTGAACAAGTGTTTTAAAAATAAGCTTCAAATTTGTCAAAATAAAATTGTTAGATTTATACACGGTATGGGACCTAGAGATAGTGTCAATAATGTTATTCTTGCTAATATGTCTTTACTAAATGTAGAAAACAGAAATAAGCAATTACGTCTTAATCATGTTTTTTAAAAATTGTTAATAACCAGTGCCCTTCATATATGATAGAAAATTTTATACCTGTTCGAGACATTCATTCTTATTCAACTCGGTCGAATCAGTACAATTTTAGGGTCCCAAGAAGTTATGGGAAAGATAATGTAACTTTTTTTCAAAAAAGCAATTAATGATTGTAATTCCTTGCCAACATACATCAAAAAAATTAATAAGATAGGAAATTTCAAAAGCTCTGTGAAGGCCCATTTACTAGAACAGTTAGGTTAGTAAATCATAATTAAATCCACTAGTATGACTAGATATTGATCTCATTTTTATTGTTTTCCTTTTTAGCAAAGTTAATGGAAATACTAAAGTTTGATATATTTTACGTAAATGACATCTTCCAGTTTCCAAAGTTTTTTGTATTTTTCAATGTTTTTGTGTTTTATATTGTATATATTATAGTAAGTATATATCCAAGGACCCCATTGGAAATAAGCCTTCGGGCTTTCATGGGCAATCCGAGGTTATTGCACACCACTACTCTATACATGTTTCCACTTACGTCCTTACATTTTATTAAACTAGTAAATTGATATCTAGTCATAGGAAAGAAAGAGTTTTAGATTTTGTTTTTAGTTATAATATTTTATTATTTAATGAGCCGTCTGTGATATTTAGGTCTGACAAACTTCCGAAATATTTTATTACAATTGTGTCATCAGTTTTATATAAAATGCTAAAGTGTTTGTTTTATGTATACATGTATGTGTGTTTTAACCTGAATAAATATCTATCTATCTATCTATTGCACAGTTAGTAACTCGAAATTTCGAATTACAATTCACGACTTTCATTGGTTGCCGGTGAAAGCAACGATTTAATTCAAGATGCTTTCTTTCGTGTGTAGCTGTTGCACATTGACAGAGCACCTTTAACATTTATTTAACAGAACAATTTAATAGGGTCAAATTGTCCACACATACTGAACATATCCTTCACTTTTTGTGGAGGGGTGGGTGTAAAATCACACTTTACACATTTCCGTGTTAACCGGATGTTTCTTTTTCTTTAGCACACATACAACCATCACGTGGAGAAACAACAAGTCCAAAACCCACCCTATTGTAATTTGTGTGTGTTTGTGTTTACCCTCGCCACCGGAAAAAGATCATATGGGCGAGCATATACTTCATTTATAACCAAATAAATGGGGAGCTGATGTTTCTTTACTTATTGTTATATCCGTACATTTGTTATGTGCATACCATATCCCCCATGACAGGGTAGTCTCTACGTACAACCTCTGCCATGGGAGGAAGATGGGGCAATCCCATACTAAGTTTAAGAATTCTAAAATTTTATTATTAAAATGCACTTATTTTAAAAATGGCCAAGACGTTTATAGAAGTTACCGTCTTTTATAACAGGTCAAACTGTGCAATATCATGTGTTAAATAAGTTTTAAATGGCGTGTACACGCCAGTAAGTCTGTCACGTTTCTCTATACTAATAATGTTTTTGTAACATTATCATTATTTACTAATACTTTGATTCATATTGTGTTGATAAAAGTTGATAAAAGTGGAACTTGTTGTTATATATATTTTTGGGAATAATATAAAAGCATCCGATTTGACAAAGAAATATAGACAGTCCAACAATTTTGACAAAGGCCTCAGCACGCCCTATTTTGGGCCACGCCGCGATACTTTCCTCACATGTCCCACACGTGAAGTATAGGATCGTTTTATTCACAGGGATGAGAAGAATATGATTAGTGAAAAGATATGTTCGAACAGACGGGATACAATACAACGTCTGAAGAACGCCTGAACGTACAAATTAAGGGAAGCCTTGTGTTTTTTTAGGTCGTGTGTGTACATGCCATCACTAAGTTTAATTCAATAGTTTTTGTCCAGGCACCCGTTTCTCCATCTCCATCGTTCAACGGCACTCCCTACTATATATCTTATATTTCGAGTTAGTATGTCGAAATTTCGAGATAAGTAACTCGAAATTTCGAGTTAGTATGTCGAAATTTCGAGTTAGTAACTCGACATTTCGAGATAAGTAACTCGAAATTTCGAGTTAGTAAGTCGAAATTTTGAGTTAGTAACTCGAAATTTCGAGTTAATAAAAAACATACACCTGGCACTAATGCTCTTCCGTATGTTGTAAACATGAATACTTTAATTGACATATATTGTAATAGTTAATGTATACTGTAGACTTTTAAATGAAAATGATTTGTTGACTGTTGTTTGTTATAATTTTGGATTACAAAATGTGTATTATTGTATTGACTAAAAGAGGTCTGATAAATGTTGAACTTCAATTTTGAAAAGACATGTAGCTCTTATTTTTTTTAAATTTTAATATTTTATATACAATTTATAAATATCAAACTTTATTTTATTATCACTATAAATGATTAAAAGTGAGTCATTTTTGTGATGTTATACAAATGTGTTGAAAAAATATATTTTCTGTATATTAAGTTTTACATGAATAGATAAATCAGAAACTGTGTTATACATTTTGTTTAATTGTTTTTATGATCACTTTCTTTAAATAATAAAATCACTTTTCGAGTATAGAAAGTTTTGTATTTTCTCTTTATTTGGGAATTATTTAATGAAACGGGTCAGATTTATGTTGGGAATTGGTTGGAATTACGTTGCAAACTAGTCGGTATTACGTAAGTAACTGGTTGGAATCATGTTGGAAACTGGTTGGATTCACGCTGAGAATAGGTTGGAAAGTAGTTGTACATACGTTGAATAGAGGTTGGATTTATGTCATTTTATGACGTTGGATTGACGTCGGACTCTGACGTCTAAAAAATTTTCATTTAGAACTAAATTCCAACGTCTATCCAACGTCGGACTCTAACGTCTGAGCAACGTTGAAACAATGTCATGTGTTTGCTGGGCATACTTCGGTTCTACTAAACAAATTAGTAAAAATTTAATTGTCTCTATCCGAGAGTTACAAACTGCATTTTGATTAACTCGATTTGATAACGTAGTAGCTGTAAACATTCAATTTAGATA